CTCAAGAAGAAAAGAATCTACTTCACTCCCAGTGGAAAAAAAGAAGTTAAGATGGAATTAGTAATTCCAAAGAAAGATTTAGAAGCCTACAGAGAAGCCAATAAGATCTGTTTTCTTCTAATGAAAATCTAAGTTAATTGAAATATCAAAACTACAGAAGACATATAAAATATAGAAAAGGTCATTCAGAATTTACAAGATATTATAAATCCCTTGATAAAGAACTAGTACCTCCCTAGTTACAAGAAGAGATTTCAGAGCAATTGAGGAAAATCACTAAGATAGAACATATCCTCAAAATGATATGCAAGAAATAAGAAAGTCTTCATATTAGAAACCAAATCAAGGAGGCTCTAGATAACTGATGTGATAATTTTAGATCCAACTAGAAGCAGATGCTGGACTTAGTCTTAAATTGTAAAAAACTAAAAATTACATTAGATCGGATGCTAATCACAAATCAGGAAGGAAAAGAATATATTGCTACTAATCCTCAAACTATTAGAAACAAGGTTGAAGAATATCATAAAAGGATGTTCAAAAAGAGAAATATCAACTTTAAGAATCTAAACCTCTCCTGGAAAAAAGAATATCAACCCAAAGAATAGATCGACCCAATATTATATTCACCTTTAACAGAAGAAATCAAAGTAGAAGAGCTCAAAGCTACTTTACAATCTTTCCCAAACAACAAAACTGCTGGTCCCTCATATATCAGCTACAAAATGTTCAAACATTTAGGGATCAAAGGAAAAGGAACTCTATATCTTCTTTTTAATAAAGTTTTAAGCACAGGTCAAATACCTAAGAAATGAAAAAGCAGTAACATCTATTTTATTCCCAAACCCAAGCCTTAAAAATATGATGCGAGCAATATAAAACCCATCGTTCTTTTAGAAATAGCTTGAAAATGCTTTACCAAAATTCTTATCAACTGACTATCAGCTATTTGCAAGCAATATAAAATATTAAAAGGATCAAACTTTGCTGGGCTATAGAAAGAGAATACGGCAGAGCCTATTCACCTGCTAAATAAAATTTGTAAAGAGGCTAGAGAAAAAAAAATAAGTTATGGATTCTATTTCAAGATACTACAAAAATATATTATACAATATTTCTGTATATACTTGGAAAGGCCATAGATCAGATTTGAATTCTTACAATTGTTAAAAAGCTCATAATAGATCTCTTCAAAGCCAGAAGCTGTCGTATCATCCTTTCCAATGGACTATTTAATCCAATAGTAGCAGAGGATAGAATAAATCAAGGAGAAATAATTTCTCTATTAGTATAGAGAATCTTTTATGACCTACTTTTATGTAAGATTCAAAACAACAGCAACTTGGTTTATTTCATGGAAGAAGAATAGTCTTCCAATTTTAGTAAACCTGAAGAGAAAATGAAGCTCTCCTTAAGGTAGGCAGTAATTGCCTACATGGATGATATGACCTGGATTGCCAAATCCAAGGAAGATCTGAAAAAATTTTGGAAGAAATGAAAAAGTTCTATATAACAAATAACTTTCAGATTAATGCAGAGAAGTCAATCCTCTTTATTATTAACAGAAATTCACAAGTCTTTGGGACTGTTTAGGCTGAAACAGAGAATATTATAGTTCATAAAATCAATAAGAAGGACCAGGCTAGATTTCTTGGTATCTGGTTAGAATCAAGACAAAAAAACCAAGACACTATCAGTCTTATAAAATCAGAGATTAGAACAGTAGTCCAGGCAATAACCAAAAAGAAGCTAATAGAAAAATATATCTGATATGTTATTAATAGGATCCTTATTTCAAGAATAGAATACAGAATACAATATACATACCTGAATGAGAAAACATGTAATAATCTCATAGCCATATTTAGGAAAATATTTAAAAACAAGGCATTAGTCTGTGGAATGATCCCAAATAGTTGTATTTATAATAAAGAAATATACAGTCTCAAAAGTATCTGGGAGATATAGCTAAAAAGTCACATACCTGTATTTTTCTGTTAGCTTAACAATAATGAGACCCCTGGTATTGCTACCATAATTAGACTGAAACAAAGTCAAATTAAATATTGGAAGCCAGACAATATTCTAAGCAATTCTATCAACTTTTTCAAGCTGATGAAAGGAAACTTGGCAGCTATAACACTGGCTCTGGTAAATAACATACAAGTCACTTTTCAAAGTTGGAGATGTAAAAACATATTCGACTATTAGAAAGATATCTTATCAATCAAATCTATACTGCAAGAGAACAAAGAATATGGAAAAACCATTCCATTACTCTGAAAACACAAGATCATATTTATAGATCAGCTCATCAATACTATCACAATTATACTTAAGGAATGGAGAGCAGTTCAAATTCTCTATAGCAGATGCAAGGGACTGGTTCCCTCCTGGTACAAAAAAGTGAGAGAAAAAACAATAGTAAATTAAAATATTTTATGAAACTTTCTACATGGATTTAAATGGATAGTTTACAATATGCAAACTGAAGCATTCCCAATAAATTCAGATAGAAGGAAGATTTACTGGATAGTTCAAACTAATACTTCAATAAATATATGGGAAAAGACAATATCCAAAAATAACAAAATCTATTTTACTCCATATCAGCTAATATACGATCCTACTAATAATAATACTCATCTTCAATCAGATATATAAAGCAACCATTAGAAGTAGTCCTGTCACAGATCCACCTTCTCCTACAGCTTAATTGATATAATAATTTAAGAAAAAGGAAACAAATCCTTCTACCAGGAAATCCTATAGACTGGCAGACAAATGCATTTCAGCAAACAGTGATTTTATCAACTTCCAGATCAATTGAAGTAGAGATTCAAGTAGAAGACTAGGATGTCACACTAATAGAAAAAGTCATACAAACAGAAGAATACAAAGATGAACTTAAGAGCATCTTGAGATATAACAAAAGGAATATGGCTAATCAGCTTATATTCTATATAGATGGCTCTTATAAAAAAGGGATGACAGATGATGAATTCGAAATGGGTTTAGCTTGGATTATAATAGAGAAAGGTAAAATAGTTAAACAGTTTTTAGCAGGAGCTCTCATATGGCCATCAGCAATCAGGACTAAAATACTAGCTATTCTCATTGCACTATATACAATCCCCTAAAATACAACAGTTACAATTTACACTAACTGCAACATTATAGTCAAAATATAGAAATTCATCTGCTCACAAATAGAGACATCTATAAGAAGATGAATAAAGATTACTAACTGACCACTTTGGAATAAGATCAAGGACTAAGTAAAGAAAAAAGATTCGAATTTGAAAATCCTAAAGATCAAAGTCTATAGAATCAACAAATTCAACAATCAAGTAAACTTACTTGCTAAACAGACCAGATGGGAGAACCCAATAACTTAATATCAGCTATCAGAGCTAGGAAAAGTCTTCACGATAGCAACATGTAAAGAATATACAATAGAAATTGGTATCAGAGATTTTATTAAAATATTCAATAAGAAAAAGATTAAATCAGACTAGACAATACAGAAATGGATCCAGGATCTTTGGATCCAAAATGATAAAAGTATAAACTGGCCAACCTTCTAGAACCAGTTCAATCCAACCAATATCTTTGATATCTCTTTCAAAACCAATAAAGACAAAAGCTTCCTAACTAATTTAACTCACAATGAACTTCTAGTTTTACAGATACTTAAGAAGAAAAAATCAAATATATATATCATGACCACTTGTCTAGCATGCGAACTTTAAGAAGAGATACTAGGACATCTTTTTAAATACTCAGCCACTAGAAAAACTCAGAAGAACTTATAGCAAAAGGCAAACAAAAAGATCAAGAAACTCATTGATAAAAAAACTAAAAGATAAGAAAAAAGTTCAACCTAAAACAAGTGACTGGATAGATAAATGGTTAGAAGAGATCCAGAAATCTGACAGGAACCTTTTCAATATCATCTGTGGATATATGGAAGAAAGCAAGACCACATTCTTGAAGAAATATTTTAAAGAGTAGCTCAAGATCCCATCAGCAAATACACAGTATATAATTAATAAACTCTGTCAAAAGATAAGAGCAAACTTTAAAAGGAAATCTGGAATATTCATTGTACCAAAGTTATAAAATAGGAAAAAAAGCAAAACATTATAGAAAAGAATAAAAGAAACAAGAGGTCCAAGTCCAAACTTGATAAACAAACCGAACAAGACCAAAAAGAATTGCTATTACCTTCAGAGGATCTGAACCTAGAGAATATTAAAGAAATAGAAGAAAAAAAGTATACAATGATTATCAAGGATTGGGTTTGTTATGGAATTGAGTGGTTTGGTTTTTTATTATAGACAGAACTTAGAATAATCTACAGTAATGACCTATAGGCAATGATTTTATTAATTAAAGAAATTATTCAAATTAGTAAAGGAGTAAAATATTATTCCCTAAATTGCATTTAGAGAAATAGTTTTTTTGATGACAAGTAAATCAGTATATGAAAGTCGCAACAATTTGTAAATACCTAACATATATACAATAAAGACACACCATACTGACCTGACTGCAGGTTAAAAAAAAAAAAAAAAATATTTTATATACAAATTTATATACAGTATAAAATTTATATATAATAAATAATAATAAATATAATTTTTATTATAAAAATTTTTATAAAAGATTAATTATAAAAATAATTTTTATTATAAAGAATTTTATAAAAAATTAATTATAAAAATAATTTTTATTATAAAGAATTCTAATTATCAAATTAAAAAAATTTTTTATTATAAAGAATTCTAATTATCAAATTAAAAAAAAATTTTTTAACAATTTTTTATGTTTCTAACCAATTAACACGTAATGATAATCAACACGCGTAATAATAAAATATATTTATAAGTTGCGCTAATATTCTTTTTTTTCCTTGCATTAATATTTTTTTTCTTTCCCTTGCGTCGATATATTTTTTTTGATTGGATGATTATGTACCACCTTTTTGATAAATAAAGAAACTTTTGAGTCACCCTTCCTTCGTGGGAGTGCATCGTGCATCACCCTTCTTCGTGGGAGTGCATTGGCCTTCCTTCGTGGAAGTGCATCACCCTTCTTCGTGGGAGTGTATTGGCCTTCCTTCGTGGAAGTGCATCACCCTTCTTCGTGGGAGTGCATTGGCCTTCCTTCGTGGAAGTGCATCACCCTTCTTCGTGGGAGTGCATCACCCTTCTTCGTGGGAGTGCATCACCCTTCTTCGTGGGAGTGCATTACCCTTCTTCGTGGGAGTGCATTGACCTTCCTTCGTGAAAGTGCATCACCCTTCCTTCGTGAAAGTGCATCACCCTTCTTCGTGGGAGTGCATTGGCCTTCCTTCGTGGAAGTGCATCACCCTTCCTTCGTGGAAGTGCATTACCCTTCTTCGTGGGAGTGCATTGGCCTTCCTTCGTGGAAGTGCATCACCCTTCTTCGTGGGAGTGCATTGACCTTCCTTCGTGGAAGTGCATCACCCTTCCTTCGTGGGAGTGCATCACCCTTCCTTCGTGGGAGTTCATCGCCCTTCCTTCGTGGAAGTGCATCACCCTTCCTTCGTGGGAGTGTTTAATTATTATTTTTTTATTTTTATTTTTATATGCAGTGTGCTGTGGAAAGCCGGAATTTTCTGTAATGGTGGAGGAGACATAACTGGTATCGACTATAGAGAAATATCGGAACAGGTCAAAATTGCAACAAATTTTAATATTTTTCACGTGGTGAAGAAGGATAATGGGTAAATTATAAATGATTATTATTATTTACTCATTATTAAATTACTAATCATTGAATTTTTTCAGCTTCGGCTTTATTCATTTTAAAACACGAAAACAGGCGGTAGAATTCTTTCATCAAACAAAAGAGAAGCTTTATTATTTTGATGAAAAAAGAGGACCAATGAAGTTCCATGCAGCAACTTTAACACTAGCCGAAATGTCGAATACGAATTAGTAAAATTTATTTTATTTATTATTATCCATGTAATTAATTTGGCGATTTTAACAATATAATAAAAAACTATTTTATGTATTTAAGATGGTAATAGGACGAACGAGATTAATAATGGTAATGAGAAGACTAACGAGATCAGCAATAGGAGTAATGAGAAGACTAATAATATCAATGGAAGTAATGAGAACGAGATCAGTAATGGGAGTAATAAGAAGATTAGCGAGATCAATATAAACTCTAGAAAACGTAAAGTTATCGATATCAGCGATGACGAGAATCCGAAATCAGAAAAATCCAAATTCACTAAATCTCCTAATGTGTATGGACTCTTTGAGGATAAGTATGTATCCATCTGACTTTATCTTGTTCAATAATAAAGTCTAACTTTTATACATTATTATAAAGTCATGCATATATCATAATTTTGCACACACCTGGCATCGCGAACAAGTCGGATCTTATAATTTCAACCGTCGATGATAAAATTGATTAGTATCGACGGTAATTTTTGTGGTAAGGTAGCTCCCGGAGGAAAAATTATAAGCTTTTTGCCTATCGGACCATTTGAAGTGGAAGTAGAGCTTCCAAGCGGGTAAGTTATAATGATATAGTTTTATTATTTTACAATTTCTTATAATTGAGATAATTGAAATATATCTTTTTAAATAGAATCGAAGCTACCTCTGCCAAAGTTGAAATTGAATACGGAATATCAACTATTACGTTAAAGAAGAGAAAGAATAAAAAGGTCCTTAAGCTTTACTAAAGTTAAAATATCCATATTCGAAATATTATTTTATTATGATCATGTTTTTAGTGGTATTTTAATGTTTTATTACTACGTCAACTGCTCTTCTTATTTCGCGACTTACCCTACCAGGTGTTATGGGCGTAGAAAAAAATCTTACATTGTTTGCGAATTCCCTACTTCTATCACGAGGCCCTTTAATCCGGAAATGTCTCTGAATTCTGTCGAGAGAGAAAAATATAGCCTTGTAATTTGGATAACAGATAACTAGTTCTTTACTAGATTATATCATTCCTATAGTATGCTTATTATTTTTTTTTTCATTCCTTGGTTTTTTCTGCTATTGCCCACGGTGAGTCAGTCGCTAATCGGCGCAGCTCGCATAACCATAATCCATAAACAAACCTCACACAAAAGAAAGGACACTTCTCCCTAAAGATACACTAGATGTTTATTTTATTGGCGTTGGTTTCTTTTGTATGATACAATGAATTCTAACATACAGTATGTTTTTTCTATACTAAATGCTAAGCTATCTACACTTTTTATGCAACTCACATCTTATATGGTTATCCGCCATCCATTATGCGAGAGTGTCGGAATCGCACGTCCCAATTTTTGCATTTTCTAGCTTATTAACTCGTGACACAGATCGCGTCGATCACGAAACATTTTCCTCGGCACCTAGCATTGACTGAGGGTATCTTTTTTTTTCTCCACTAATCGTTAAGATATTGCTTTCTATATGGTATTTAATCTTGTGTTAATTACTTAGTGCCCCGTATTATTTTTAGGCCCCGGAGATTAGTCTCATATTGTTTGCCATCACTATTGGGGATTCCCATGTTGGTATTAAATTTGGCACATGATCACTAGAGTTTCGAAGCAAGTAGAATCTACGGTCCCTACCTATTTGCCAGCAATCATGTTATTTGGCATACGTCTTGCTCGAAGGGTCCAGGGTCTTCATACCCATCCAGTTATTGATGGCATGTCCATGGGTATGTGTCATCTTACAATACATTTAAGACTGGAATATTGGTCCCACCTTCATCAGCAGCACGAGCTCAGTTCTTGGCATTAATAATCCATGGGCGTGCAGCTGTAAGTTTGAATTTCATCTGCAGGTGATGATGCTTCAGACTATATTCTAACTTCTTATATATATCTTATTGTTGGGGGCAATAATTCTGATCGTTTTTTCACATCGGAAGAAGTTTTGCGGACCATATGTGGGAACAGTATTATGGTTTTTATCGTAGTTGTATTAGCAACTGTCAGTTCTTATCTTCGTATAGCTTTTTCTCTACCATAAGTGAAACCATTTATATGATGTGTATCCTACCCTCTTTAACCTATTCAATCTCATCACAGTACAGTTTAGGCTGATATCACCCAGGAAAATCACCACAAACCTCTGAGACGCTATTCTCATGATGATTGATCATGACAACGGTAACCTTTATTAATTTTTGATTAATTCCGTTCCCATCAGGACATCAGTCACCGGTATATCAAGTTACCTCAGCGCTTCCCAAGCATGTGCTAGTCTCGCGAAGGCATCCGGTATGTCTGTAGGTGACCTCTCTGTCAGTATGGGCAACTTTCTTTACATGATCCTTATTAGCTCCGCTTTTCGCGATCCTCTTTATCTGTCTATTCCTAGGCTCATTGATCATGACTGATGGTTTTTTCACTGATGCTTCTTCGTCCCATTCTTCCCTTCGAGTTAGTTTACCTATAGATACATTTTTTTTTTGCCTTATCATTTCCCATGACAGCAGTTTTCTCGTCATGATCATCTCGGCTTTCTCATCTTTAGTTCACTCCTATTCATCTTTTTCTACGATGCAGTAAATACAAATATGTTTAGATTTTTATTAAATTCGATTACTTTTTTTTAAGATACTTTTCTCACTAAACCTTAGAAGTATAATAGATAATACGTTATTTGTAGATTCAAAATTTTTTGGGATATGTATTTATTATCTTAATAAGTTCAATAGTTTTGAAAAGCTTACTAGCTTTGTGCTTATTATTGACTTAAGTAATTCAGAAGTTTTAAAAGTTTAGAAATTTTTAATATAAAGATAATTAGAACTTCAGCTTATTTTATTATACAGTATAATCAAAAAAAGTTTTAATAATATTGTCTTACTTTTTATAAATACTGTATGATTTATAAGTTTTGATAATTTTTTTAATTCATATATTATTTTTATTTTTTAAAGTTTTAAGTGTGGTTAAAATTATTTTATTGTTGACTCAATTTGAGTTTCTATTATATTACAAATAGTTATAAAATTTTTTTGACTTACTATCAGATTGATATAGCTTATCTTTATTGTATATTTAAAAAATTTTTATATAATTTAAAAGACTTTTAATAACTCATTTGTTTTAGAAGTTTAACTTCTTTAGATACAACTTAGGAAATGATATTTTGTTCTCTTAATAACTTCGATTATTCTTTAGCTATCAAGTTCATTGCTTATAGGTTATCATTATAAATCATCCAAAATAGATTAAATACCTAATCACTTTTCTTCTTTTACTATTCATTTTTCTATAATCTCCTTAATATTTATATCTTTAAATTATTCTTCCAATAAGATCTTTTCTGATAAATGATTATTCTCTTTCTCTAAATTTTCTATATTATTACATAGAATTTGATATCATTTAGATCTCTTATTAATATTTTAAGTTTTTTTCTACTCAATTATTGCTTTGCAATGGTTATTCTAGATCTTCTTTTTAAAATTTTTTTACATTTATTGGCATAGTCTTCCTATGACTTTTCTTGTATTATGTGGCTTTACCTTGAAATATAATTTGAGGAAATTTTCAATATTTTTGTTTTATTTTTACAAATATATCCACATATTATTTTAAAAAGACTCTGTTCCTATTGTTGTATCTCATTGAGCCATATATAGATTGCTTGATGAATAGTTTTTTGATTCTTATTCTTGATCTCTACTTGAATATAAATAATTGTTTTATAAACTTCTAGTTTTTACTTCTTGAGTATCTATAATTTAGGAAACTTGTTATAAGTGAAATTTACCAAAAATTATTTGTCTGTGTTACTCTTTAAGAATATATGAAATATATAATATATATTAAACTGATTCCAAAAGACTATCCAGTTTATTTCAGTAAAAACTCATATTCTTAATTACTGTCATTATTCCGAACACTATCTTTTAACCTCGCATTTATTATTATTAGTTGCTTCGGTGACAACTTATGCTAGGCAAAAAATAAAAAAAAAAACTTTTATTAATCAGACAAGTTTTTTTTCACACACCCGACATAAATTTTTTTGTTCTCCATTTTCTATATTCAATTATTCCAACAACTTAAGACTTGATATACATAGTAGAGAAAAATTTTTTTATATTATATTATTGAAAACAGAGAAAAAGAATAACACAATCTAAGCTTAGCAAACACAGTAAAGAGAAACATAACTATATCACCCCACTTGGAGCAATACATAAAGCTCATAAACAAGTCACCAGGAGAAGAGTACATAATAATAATATTAGTACTTTATCCATCAACTTTTGAATGAAAGGGAAAACAAAAGTAAATCTGAATCACAGTAAAGCCAAGGAACTCAACATCAACTCTCCTGCTTCCAGCCAGGCCAGTGCTGATTTACACATTTCTAGACATTAGAAGGAACCTGACAATATAGTAATCTCAACTGATAAACCAGTCAAAACTCAAAATTTGCAAGACTTAAGAGGACGTTAGGAACCCAAGAGTAACAACTAGAGATTATCAGTAATAATACATCAGTAACATATAAACAACTAGCATGTAATGCAAATACAAACACATCTCTTTAGACAATAGAAATATAACAACAGATTATGAGACATGTCTCTAAACAGATAAACAAGCTTAACACATATTCTAACTAATCTCAAAACATGTTTCTCATATCTGATTTACTCCTTAATAAAATCAACACACGTGTTACTGAAATCAACAAATCAATAGATAAACAATCTGCAACTCATGTTTACTCCACAATTGATCTACTAATACAACATATATATTAGGAAACCCCAGTAATACTATCTGAATAAGTAAACAAATAAACAGAATTAATTTGCGAAGCGTGACTCATTTAATAACTACGTGATACAGTCAATATAGATAGAGCACAATGTATTCTTCATATAGTAAACAAAAGGGAAGAGAATATCTTGAATACCTTAATTAAGCTTTCAAGAAAATATGACGAAACCTCAGAACTATGGACATCTTAATAGTTGGTAAGGCAAAAAGAAGGAGACTCAAAAGAAGAAACAACTTCCGCATTAGAGACTTTTACTATTTTAGATAGTATTATTGCTAACATCCTAGGAATAGACAAAACAATATTCCATAAAGAATGGATCCTTATTCAACATATCCTATACCTCTAGCAACAAGGAAAGGGAAAAGAAGAAGATTTTCTATAGCCCTATATAGAAGACAAATTCATAGAAATTATCAAAAATGCAAGTAATCCACAGGAGTCAAAAAGTCAACTGATGGAGATTACAGAACATGTAGATACCGAGATAACAATAAATAATGAAATCATAA